TCACGAGCGAGACTGGTGGGTCCTGGGTTCGAATCTCGCAGGGTAGGACCATGGATGCGTACAGCTGACGAGTCCCACACTGGGGTGAAGCGGGCGTCCAGTGCTCCCAGGTTATCCATGGTCATCTAGCTTCAACTGACTCATGAGTTCAATCATTAAATTATATTTCTATGTATTTTTAACTTGAACTGAATCGAATGACAATTCGATAATCTGATGAAACTTCATCAGTGTAATAAGTACGATAAGGTGTATGTTTATTTTGTACTGGAAATGTTAATTAAAACCGTCTTTAAAGATGGAACTTTTAATGAATAGTATTTCTTAATCATAGTGTGGTATACACTACTAATGCGGGCAGATATAAGTAGTATGTAGCAGAAACCGGATCGTTGGATGTTTACCAGCAGAAGAGTGAAGTAAAGAGAAGAGGAAGGAAAATAGAGAGCAATGGAAATGACAACAGAATCGGAAGAATGATGAAGTGTGTAAAGGACAAGTGAAGGGAGATGTGCAAATGATTTTGTATTACACAATAAGTGGGTTGAGCCCAATAAGTTTTCATTCACTACAATAGTGTTAATAAAAATACTAGTTGAAGGTAATATACATTAATTTTTTGCGAAACTTTAAGCACCAAGGAGTAACGGTGTTGGTCGAAAGTGTAGCGATGAGGTAAATTGCCAATAAAGTGTTTGATTCACGACTGATTTTGTGTAAGAGTGATTTGTTTATACTAATTGGTCACTGAATAGTAAACATAATCATTGATTGTTTTTACAGTTAATCGAATTCTATCGATTAAGTTAGTGTGTTTATTTATTTAAGCACATAAATATTGTTACATGGAGGCAACAAATACATATGTGCCACATAAATCATTCGATTTTTGTGAGAGCCGGGATACTGTACGGCTGCCTAAACCGAAGCAGATGGTTTTCTTAGAGGGTCACATCCGGATCCTTCGACCTAAAGGTCCCATACACAAGACAGTGGAGCAACGTAAGGAGATATAGTCCCATGGTGGTCGATAATCATGCGCCATTTGTTCCTTCAGGATGCTGCAGACCATGTGCACCATTGGTTTGGAATGACGGTTTTCCAACTTCCCTAGGTGGATCCTCTGTGTCCACTAACCCGGTTAAAGCATCGGACACTCGCTTTTGTTCGTGTCAATTTCGTAAGCAACACCCATGGTGCGAGAAAGCAGTGAGTATGACTTCCTTGGTAGTGGCTGTATACACGTGGCCATGTGAGTGTACTTCGAGAGAGAGAAAGAAGGAGCTGACTCTCTCCACTCTCGGCCGTACCACGGATGAATAACACTTCTACTCAGTTCTCTTCATTCATAGATAATACATCATTTTGCGGTGATTATCTCATATTTAAAATGATTAGCATGTTACTTTATAACAATTATGTAAGTGATTACATTCAATCAAAAACTCTGTATAAGTTAACAACATAATAACTATATTTCTAATTTCAAATGTAACAGTAATGTAATGAAATACTTGTTACATAATGAATGTTTATATGAATTATGTAATCACAAGACTTGTTCATTACAAGTAATCTTAAATACATTCGTCTACCTACCGCTTGATATTACAAAAATTTCAGCAAAACTAATTTACATGTACTTATCAAAACTACAGGTAATTTGGTTAAAGGAATTTCATTGCAGTTCAATGTTAATAATGAAGTTAGTTACAAACAGTGTAGAACCCTGTATACACGTATATTGATCTGTAATAACTCACTTTGCGTCAGTGAAGCAGAATTAAAAAATCTGTTGGGCAAAAACTGAACGATTCGCCTCAAGATACCTCGTCGATTTTATAGCGAAACACACGAGTGCTTACACTAAACGATGTCGATAGCTAGGAAGTCATTATCAATGACACTGAAGAATTACTGTGCTGTTTTCAAAGTTCATTCAACTAAAATTTGGATAAGGGAACTGGAGGTTTTCAGCTCAATCCCTGATGGTAGCAAGGGTTTGCATTGTTGAGGAATTCCATGTCGGAACAAAATACTTGTTCAGTACTCTCGAAATTTCAATGATTCTTCAATTGATATTAGTCCGATTGCAACACTATAACTGATGTATTTCTACTAAAGTTCACACTGGTTAGTATCTATCAAATTTGAGAATAATAATTTCAGAGGTTTTCTGTCGATTATAATATAGTATTTCTAATTTGTATTTCAGCTTCCTTCGAAACTTCAAATATCTCAGCTGAAGTAGCTTTAGTGGTGAAATGGAAACATATGGAGCCTACAAACATAGTGCTTTTTAGGTTTAACCCATTTTATAATGTTTCAACAAAAGTCGATTTAATAAATACACAAACCGAGCTAATGTTGTTAGACGTGTACAACCGACTTTGGACGGTCTTATTATTATCAACTGATAGTGAACTCACAGTCCGAATGATTGATGAACTGAATTAGGAAAAGTTACTATCTATGTACAAGCATTTAGAGTTGAGAAAGTTGTGTACGGAATTCATACAATACTCTAAAAGCTTCCAGCTTTAATCAGTCATTATGATCATACCATCCAGTCAGGTCTATGAGAACTTATGAAGACGCTTTATACACCGTTAATATATATACCGTTAATCTAAATTGAGACATACTTTAATAATAAGGTTACTTCGATGTAATTTGGGTGAGTAAATTTTACGGCTCTTTGGTATTCAGCTTAAGTAGTTGAAATTTGCTACTAACTATTTACGAAACTAACGATTATTTAACATTCAAAATGACATACTGATTACTTTGTGCTTGTACCAGTTCATTCAAGCATCAATAAACAATGACTCTTGAAAACTAAAGAAAAAGAAAATGTTATTAACACTACAGATAGTCTTTATTTAGTTCAAGTCATCATATTCATTTCTGAATCCTTACTTACAAAATGCTTTGTGTATGCCACTTATGGCAGGAATGGACATCTTTGTTTAACACTATTTGTGGTTAGTGCTAATAAAGTCGAGACTTTAAGTATCCACGTAACTTAATTTGCTTTAAAGCACGCTTTTGAAACGCTTTAGAAGTAGCGAAGTAGACATGAGTTATAAAACACGTCCATTTGCAGTATGTCAACTAATATATTTATTAAATTGCATATTACATGGATGGAGATAGAAGTGCTTTATGTCACGAATGGAAAGTATTCCAAGAAAGAATTTTTGAGATGAGACTGATAAAACGACTTAAATTCTCGTGAGCATAAAGCGTACTACATAGATGGCAAATTAAAACGCAGTGTATTAGAAGACTGAATTCGCTAAATGCACGTTAAAATACGCTTCATTTGATGAAGGTTGGTTGGGAAAATTGAGAAAAATCAGCTTTCATTAACACTAATGATTGCGTGAGAGTATTGAAAATAGAGTAAACGAAGATATCGAACATTTAGTAGTTTATTTAACAAGTGTATTGCCGGGCTGTCTCTCAAAAAGCATGACGAAGCCTCCAAATTAGCCGTAAAGATCCTATTCATTCAGAATTTTCTAGATTATCAATGTGGCATGGTATCATTGGACAATTGTACACCTTCCTATTGACTGAATTATAATGATATTATGATCTGTACTAAGAACTATAAATACCCCTTTTTTCAATACACTTTTGACTCCTACTCAACAGTCACTTTCCTGTCTTTTGATTTAAGACTCTGAGGTTTTACGTGTTCGAGTGCCGATTGTTGTATACTGTATTGACCGTAACCAAGTAGTGGACGTAACACATATAAACCACTGTAAATGATAAACAAAGTCTGTTAGTACCATCTAAGTTCTAAGTCTCAATGGACTAACATTATTACTGTTTCGAATTCCTTAGTATGTGCATATAAAATGTTCTGTCTGATTAAACAGAAAAACAAATTGTGGAACTTTAATATGAGTTTCTGATGTATACCAAAATTTCGTAGAAGACAACCTTAAATTATATACACGGTTTTAAACAAACTTTACCTGATAACACATTTGCCAACAACCATCAGGGAGCAAGGATTTAACAGTTAAACATTGGTTTCTACAGGTAAAAATGGACTTACTGGTTGAAAAACCTATTGGTGTTAGACCACCATTGAAAACCTAAAAGCAACTAGACGGCCGCTTTATCCTATTGTGGGACTACTCAACAGTGAGTACCCACGATCCTGATAAAGGGATTCAAACCCAGGGCCTTCAGTCCCGCACCGTCCAGTGCTTCCAGGTTTCTAATGGTGGTCTAACGTCAATCGGTTCAACATCTCAATCAATAACTTAATAATCTCCGTAACCCTATACTGAAAAACCTAATGTTAATTCTAACCAAAAAATTTCGGAACCCAATTAGTGTTACTACCATTCACAAATGTGCAGTTTTAAAGTCCAGTAATCTAAACACGTACTTCACTACTGAGTTATATTAGAATAAATATACGATAAAATTATTTATTTAAACACATAAACATTGGTACAAGAAGGCACCAAGTAGATATGCACGACATAAATCATCCGATTTGTGTGAGGGCTGTGATACTGATCGGGTGCCCCGACCGAAGCAGATGTTTTTCTTAGGAGGCTACACCCCGAGCCTTTGACCTAAAGGTCTGATCCACAAGGCAGTGGAGCATCGTAAGGAGATGCAGTCCTATGGTAGCCGGTGACCAACGATTGGTTCATACACCATTTGTTCCCTCAGGATACTGGAGCCCATGTGCACCATTGGTTTGGAATCCGGTTAAAGCGCCGGACATTCGCTTTTCGTTCTCTCAATTGCGTAAAAAACACCCCCGCCACGAGGAGGCAGTGAGTAGGACTTCCCTGGCAGAGGCTGTATACGCGTGGCCGTGTGAGAGCATTTCGAGAGGGAGAGCGGACTCTCCCCACTCTCGGCCATACCAGGACATTTGATCCAAAGCATTTTGGTGATATATTAATACTGTTTATTTCATTTGTTAGATAATAGCTAGCATAATCAGTAAGAAAAAAAGCCTCTTGAAAAAAATGTACAAGTACTTTTTTTATTATTTAGTTGACTACATAATCAAATGGAAGAAAACACTACAATGTATAGATCACTTAAATATAATCACGATCGGTTTATACATAAGATGTTCAAACAAACCCAGGTGATACACTTGAATCTTCTGTAAATAGAATCACTGATTGATTATAACAAATCCAGCTAATCAGAACATATCACAGACCAAGTATATACACTTATGAAGTAAGCAATGTTACTCAATCGGATTTGAACCGGAGGTTTTTTGTTGCTGGTATAAATACAAAGAACGGATAAAGACTTAAAACAACATACTTTCTTTTCACCTTGTATCACAACAATACAACTTACCATGGTATAATGACGTTACAAGATCACACATCATAATGTTATAAAAAAAAAGGAGTTAATATTCTTTGGTTAATATCGAAGGTACAAAGTTTTGAAGGCACATTGACCGACCAATAAAAACGGATTAATCACAAGGATAAATTGTTCACATGGAGATAAATGATTAATTCATAGGAATTTGTCATTTGTTTGTTTGTTAGTTTACGACAAACAAAAACAAAAAGAAAAAACGTAGTCATATTCAAAGAGATTGCAAAAATGAAAAGATTTAAAAAAAAATACATCGAACCAATCGAGGAATATTACAAATTCAGGCACCAGAGATCAGTTACACACAGTACCAAAAAGAAAACTAGTCTGATGTAGTTGTCGATTTTTTTGTAATTTTACATAAATAGTATTATTCATAATCTGATATATATTTAAAGAAAGAGAATTCATCCAACACATGAAGAACATAATCGTTTCACTGCATCCCTGTAAACAACAAGATAATAATGAAATATAGTTAAGCTATTAGTAAGACTTTATAGAGATATATAAGACATATAAGCATATTATGTGATGCAACAAAAGACTATCATGGGTTAGGTGAGAAAAGGTAAAATATAATCAAACGAATAGAATAATCCACAAAATATCGTATGTTGTAAAGAATAGTTGAAAGAGATTTTTTTTTAAAAATACGTTGTACTGCTTTACTAATCCTACTTCTCCACTAAGCCACTGAGGCGGCCAGCATTCAACGGTGTTAATATCTAACTTCAACTAATCCACGAAATTGATCGACACATCCACCATTGTCATTCGTGAGTTATTATCTCACAACGAACTCAGTTGAACTCCACTGGTCACTGCTTCTCACTAGTACTCTAGGATATACATCTTGAAGCCAGTCACTAGTGAGCATACGTTGATTAGTATCAGAAGGGGTTTTGTGGAGATTGTAGTAATTTCAATAGTTGAAATCATGAGTCAATTGAAGCTAGACCACCATGGAAAATCTGGAAGCACTTGATAGCCGTTTCGTCCTATTGTGCGACCTATCAGCAGTACGCATCCATGACCTTGCTCGCGGAATTCCAACCCAGGGCCTACCAGTCTCGCTTGCGAACGTTGAACCTCTAGACCATTGAGTAGGCATCCAACGGTGTTAATGTCTAACCTCGACCAATCCACGGAATTGCGCGACGATCTTCCATTGTACTGAGGTAGATAACTGAATCTACCCGATACGGATTGGTTCCACTGGTCACGGCTTCTCAATAGAACTCCGAGAATTCCCTTACTCAACTGGAATATAGAGATCAATTGTATTCAAGGGACTTCAAGCCTACTTGTTTGACTGGTACTAATACTAATCGGCCAGTTAAATCGAAGTGTATGGAGTGGACCATGAGAATAATACTTATCAAATGAAAGATGGAGTATCTACAATATTAAATCATTGCTCTATGAAAACTCACTGAATCACACAAGTTAACATATACCAGTGAGCTAGTTATAATTAATATACAAACTGGCACATGTGTCATCCAAAGTTGGCACAGAATATATGCGCAACAATATTAGTATATCTGGTAATATAGAATACTAGTGTTTGGTCTATCTCAAAAATAAATACAGATATCTTATCTTTCATTAGAACCTAGCTAATCAAAAACCTACAGTGAACTAAAAGGTCATAAACCCAGACAGTATTACCTGTTAAGATGAAATTGGAAAACTGTCATAACTAACGCTACTGTAAATGCTTTAACAGATTAGTAATGAGTTATCAAAACAATTTATGTTTTTAGCACAATTTTATTTAAACAGATATTGGTATATAGGGCCACCATAATATACATGCGCCACACAATGAAAATGAGATCGTTAACAGACAGAGAAACGAGGGTTAGTTTAACAAGAATAAAACCAACAAAATTGAATGGAAATGAGTGTATGAGAGTGAAATAACATTAGTAATAATTGGAGAAGCAGTTCAGTTAAAAAAAGTACAACCAGAAAGGATTCTTTCAGATACAGAAGTTACTCGCACTTTTATGAAGTAAAAGAAAGTTACAGAAGATTCGTCATTGACTTCTATTTTAAGCCATGTATGTTAACGTCTCCACAGCTAATATGCTACACTATCTCTAGGTTTCCAACCAGGAAGTCATGAAGAACCGACAGATGCCAGTCCTGTACAGCTTCCTTTCATAGTCAGTCGTCAGTCAATCAGTCAATAACAACGTAGAACTTCGTACGCACGTACATCAATTCGAGTCGCTACACCACATTAGCACAGAGATGCAGTTGTCGATTCAAATCCCATAGTGGTAGAGGTAGTAAAAGTATGAGCAGTGATCGGAAACATTAGGGCTTGAAGATGTTATTCAAGGAGTATAATACAGTGAAATAAATTTGGGAAGAGAAAAAGAAAAGGGACATGAAGAATTCAGAAGATTAGAATTTTGCAGAACACAAAGAGTGGATGCACCTGCCCCATTGCAAACGATTTTGAGCCATGTCATTCAGGGTCTCTAACCATCGGTTGCTACCATCTAGCGGTCCCCGACCAGGTAGTCTACACATACTAACATGACTCAGTCCACTTGTCAGTGACTTCATGGACTTATGCCATGTTTTGATCTGGCCACCCCTAGCTTTCTTCCAACCTACTCCTATACCAATGAACATCGCACGTCGAGGCAGTCGGTGGTTGGGCATACGTAACACGTGTTCCAGCCATCTCAACTGATGAAGTTTCATTACTTCATCAATTGATTTGCCATCCTTACCTAATACACGAAGTGTGAATCGAGTTGGTTCTTTATTTTGAAATGGTGCGGTCAAATGAATTACCCTACTCGGGTCCTGTATGCGCGTTTCGGAGACGCAACACACATCGATGGAGCAAGATTCTAAAGTCCTAACTAAGGAAGCCTGTTGTCCTATTTGGCACAGTGTTTGGACGTTAATTGCTCCTACGTGTAGTTTAGAGAGTGGTTTCGGGAGACCAGGAATAACGTTCCGCGTGCTCGAATCGTTTGCCGTAGCGGTGCCAGGTGATAAAGAGACGTGAGAAGGGTTAGTCGTGGAGATAAGATAGATATTAGGAGGTGTAGGAAGGATTTGAATGTGACCGACTTGGTCTCGAGTGCTGTTACGGGTATGAGGGCTGATGTCACTTCCCGGCTGCCCACACCGTGGAAGGGTATTTCTTGAGGAACCTGAAAAGGAAGTTGGATTAATGTTGGCCTTAACGACTCATCTATCAGAAGGTAAAGATAGATCGCGTAGGCATGGAACAATACTAGTTATTGCAATATGCTTTCATAAATAAAAAAAGTCAAGGGCATTTATTTGACTACAATACTGTCCAAAATGTATTCAAAACATGCAACGTATATGTATTTGCTCAACTGTACAAAACAACCTACACTTGATTTCTTTAAAATTTCCCATCGTTTATCCAAACTATTGCAAACTAAAATATACGCTGCAAATACTAATCACCAACCACGTATAAATATGCTTAAGACAATATCTTTCGGTATAGGTGGATAAAAACATCTTCGACCAGGATTGGCCAGTACTACTATATCATAGACCGACTACTTCCATTTTTTCCAACCGGTCCCAGCGTCGGCAAATAATAGACGATATGTAATTCGCTGGTACGACATTCATAGTACGTGTCCAAGCAACAGAAGTCGGTGTTTTAAGTTGGTGACAACAATTGGATTATCGTCACTGTGTCCGAACACCCGCATAACTAACATGATATTTGAATATTAAAGATTCCCATTGTAAAAATTAGAGCAACACATATAAGCGAATAATTGTTTTCAATTAGATCGTCATCAAGCTTTACTCTAATATACATGAATAGTTATACGAAAATGTTAAACGAATCAAGGCAATATGGGTCAATAATCACAATGAAATGGAATAAGTCTCTATACATAATAGGTAAAAATACAAATTGATAGTAGGAAGACGGGTGTACTGATAATAGTGAGAATAATAAAATACAATAACAAAACTCTTATCAATAGTTAAACGTTGGGAATAGCAGGTTAAACAAACGTGGGTAAATAGACTTGGAATAGTCACCACAAAACATTAAAATCATTACGCAATAAGATGTGTGTAAATAATTAGATAATGAAGAATACAAACGGGAAGAGGCGGAAAATTACAAACGAATACTAGATGTGAAAATAAGGTTAATGATAACAAAATGAAAGTCGTTTGTTAAATGATAACTGGCCACGTGAGGAATAGGGGGGTTACGTATTTCTTCTGTACACATAAATTGGAGTTGTATGTACGAATTACTATGGCTTCAGCTATATGTAGGAGGCGGGAACGAACTCCGTCGGGAAACGATGGAGGTATACGATAGATAACTCGAAATGATTTCGATTTATCTACAGCATGACCGCTATCAATGAGATGTGCCAAGATAGAACTGCGAATAGATTTTATCTGGCCCTTTATGTACCAAGTTGGTAGATGTTCACTCATTCGTTCGTTAAGTTGCCTGGTAGTACGCCCTATATAGCTATCTCCACAGGAGCAGCTGACTTTGTAAATGCACATGGAAGAGGCCAACTCAGGTAACTTATCCTTCGTTTGAGTAGACATCTCTGGTCGACAGGAGAAGGTCGACGCAAGATTGGCTGAGTAGAATGTCCTGGTGATTACCTTAGTTAACCTATATTTCAGAGTGTCACTAGCCACATCCTCTTTGAATTGCACTTTCATGTATAAAGGTTTCTTACGAACAGTCGAAATCTCCGACTTCTTAACTAAAGTAATCACCAGGACATTCTACTCAGCCAATCTTGCGTCGACCAGAGATGTCTACTCAATCGAAGGATAAGTTACCTGAGTTGGCCTCTTCCATGTGCATTTACAAAGTCAGCTGCTCCTGTGGAGATAGCTATATAGGGCGTACTACCAGGCAACTTAACGAACGAATGAGTGAACATCTACCAACTTGGTACATAAAGGGCCAGATAAAATCTATTCGCAGTTCTATCTTGGCACATCTCATTGATAGCGGTCATGCTGTAGATAAATCGAAATCATTTCGAGTTATCTATCGTATACCTCCATCGTTTCCCGACGGAGTTCGTTCCCGCCTCCTACATATAGCTGAAGCCATAGTAATTCGTACATACAACTCCAATTTATGTGTACAGAAGAAATACGTAACCCCCCTATTCCTCACGTGGCCAGTTATCATTTAACAAACGACTTTCATTTTGTTATCATTAACCTTATTTTCACATCTAGTATTCGTTTGTAATTTTCCGCCTCTTCCCGTTTGTATTCTTCATTATCTAATTATTTACACACATCTTATTGCGTAATGATTTTAATGTTTTGTGGTGACTATTCCAAGTCTATTTACCCACGTTTGTTTAACCTGCTATTCCCAACGTTTAACTATTGATAAGAGTTTTGTTATTGTATTTTATTATTCTCACTATTATCAGTACACCCGTCTTCCTACTATCAATTTGTATTTTTACCTATTATGTATAGAGACTTATTCCATTTCATTGTGATTATTGACCCATATTGCCTTGATTCGTTTAACATTTTCGTATAACTATTCATGTATATTAGAGTAAAGCTTGATGACGATCTAATTGAAACAATTATTCGCTTATATGTGTTGTTCTAACATGATATTACCACTGAATATCAGCAGTCCTTCGGAAACAACGATGATCAAACAGAGTCGCCTAACATCCTCAACTCGTAGAGGCTAGGTTACACAAATATAGTAAAACACTTTGTATATGCTTTTACCACAATTAAGTACAAGTGTAGTTGAAGTTTATGGTATTTTTGTGTCTCATTTTTATTCAAAACAGTCGTATTGAATATAAATGAACGTTTAAAATGTGAATAAATGGCTGGGCAAACGAGTCAAATTTGGATAGTGTGATAAGAGAAAGATTATCACAACTATGTGGCATAATAGCTTGATACATTTTGAACGGTCTGCTCATACATATAGTTGTTAAAAACATTCATATATGAGAAATTAGGTCAATTAAACAAATAGAAGGTAAGAGAAAACAAAAATAGTGTGAAACTTGCCACACTGGATAACAAACTAATATTACCAGGGTAGGTTTAAGGTGAGAACAAACAGTTTCTGAATACACAGAGAGATTTGGAATTTCGTATGGCCAAGGCTTCAATATACCGTGGTATACGTCATTTAACACTTCTGTACGATACCACAAAAGCCGAGTTAAAATCAACCTTATGACCTGGCAATAGGTCATAAGATCGTTTTCTCCTACACTCAATTTGTCTAGTTAACTTAATATTTTTATACATAAATGTTCTTAACATGTGCGATCAAACTGTTCGAAATGCATTGCGCTAATACTTCACATAATTATGATAACCTTCGTCTTCTTTTTACATTATCAAAGTGAGTCAAAGACTCGCCATTAACAAATTGGACAGAATTTCACTGCTACAGGCTAATACTCGTAAATTTACCGGAGAAAATGTCTGTACTTAAGTATCAAATATAACTGTAGAGATCAATGGTTAATAAACTACAACAGTTGGATTAATTTCTGTGGTTACAATAAGACTTTTGTCCCTTATTGTAAGCATAAACTCTTAGTAATGAGGATTAGTAGAAGAGAATTGTGTTCAGCTCCTAAACTTTAATATATTAACTAATCTTATGATAAGATCTTGGGTCACTGCACTTAAAGACCTCTGCAAATAACTAGTCAGTTCCTGCTAACTGCTCCCTTGGTGCAAGCATCAAGCTAGTTATGGCCCTTAAGTATTACCAGGTAAGAAATTGAGCTCTACTCCATATTGGTCTTGATATGAATCGCATAATACTAGTAAGATTTTAACCGATAAAATCTAGTTTACAAACTTTGTTATTCCCGATCTTGTCAAATAATTGGTATCTAAACTTTAAACATAATATAAAGGGTAGAAATATTTCAGGAAAATTCAGTTATCACCATGTTAAAATTTAATAACAAGTGCAGGTATGTTCAAAAGTTGCAGAGTCACAACTTTTATGTCAAGTTTGATATATACTATTTGGTCCATAAGTACTGATTAACAGATGTCTTGTAATGATGATTTATTCGGTAACAAACTAGAAAAAATTCTTGGAAAATATGCAAGATTACGTGATTGTGGAATATAATGTCGATGTTTTAATCACTGTGAATAAATTATTCTCAATACTAACAGTAATTTGCACACCGGTACATTTTCGAAATACCGTTAATCTAAATTGAGACATACTTTAATAATAAGGTTACTTCGATGTAATTTGGGTGAGTAAATTTTACGGCTCTTTGGTATTCAGCTTAAGTAGTTGAAATTTGCTACTAACTATTTACGAAACTAACGATTATTTAACATTCAAAATGACATACTGATTACTTTGTGCTTGTACCAGTTCATTCAAGCATCAATAAACAATGACTCTTGAAAACTAAAGAAAAAGAAAATGTTATTAACACTACAGATAGTCTTTATTTAGTTCAAGTCATCATATTCATTTCTGAATCCTTACTTACAAAATGCTTTGTGTATGCCACTTATGGCAGGAATGGACATCTTTGTTTAACACTATTTGTGGTTAGTGCTAATAAAGTCGAGACTTTAAGTATCCACGTAACTTAATTTGCTTTAAAGCACGCTTTTGAAACGCTTTAGAAGTAGCGAAGTAGACATGAGTTATAAAACACGTCCATTTGCAGTATGTCAACTAATATATTTATTAAATTGCATATTACATGGATGGAGGTAATCGGTAAGCAACTTGGAAACTAGGTTTCATGCTAGTTAGCACCAATTAGCAAGACTTACCTGGAATCTTGAGTGAACTAATGGATCCAATAGGATTTGTATTCATATTATCTAGTAGTACATTCTGAGATTACTGATGAGCTATTTGGGATACGAATGGTCCGTAGGATTGAGATTATAAAATCACTTAGCGATTAAAACTAATTTCATGTTTGTTCGGATCTGAGTGCGATCAAATTTTGTCGATTGAACTAGAATGTGAACATAAGTCCAAGTGAATCGATAGTGTTTAGTTCCCAAAGGTTGCAGATACTCCTTGTTAACGAGTACCAACTAGCACGAAATTACTAACTACAGGACTGACTAGAATTAATCCAGTCGGGGCTAGATTACCACCTAGTAGACATTATCAAATCCCTAGACCCGTACCGAAACAACGAGAAGCGAGCTCAATGAAGTTGATCGGTTTACGCAAGCTTGTGACAAAAATACTGGAGATTAACTATTTTAACGAAAATGTTACAGAATGCAGATCTAACCACAAAGGAAATGTTGATGATAAAATCGAAAAACCAACTTAGCTAAGACATCAATTATTTGAAATTATATCAAGTTAAACATACTAATATAATCAAAAACATGACAGAAATATTGAACAAATAACTAACGGGATTACCTAGCATAAGGGATATACGAGAGTGAATACCATGTCAACGACAACGATTGGAGAATGCAAAATATTAAGCAGAGGAGACGAAGTTCCTATATATGTTGGACATTATTACAAATAATATTTACCAGTATTGCGAAAACGATTGTGAGAACCAAACATACCTGAATTGCATTATTTGTACGTTAAAAATAGTGGAAAGGTGACTTTACCAGCATGATTACTGCTGCGAAAATTCTAGTCTCCTGAAACATACGTTTTAACTGACTTACGGGTCCCATCAGGAAAATCGTGCTAGTAGGACTTCAAGAATACATTATACTGATTACCTTCCCAAAGAACATATGTTGCCAAGCGTATAAAACAGTGCAAAGAGTGTGATACCTGCTCCAGGCAACCACAAACATAAGGATCCCTAGATCGTAAGCAAAAAAATGTTGTTTTTACCAATAGTGACATCACGATACCCACTACTAAGCATATGATAAACGCTTTTATACGTGTACTCCAGCTCAAAGAACAACCATTTTCGACCTAAGAAGTCGTAAAACTCTCTTCATGCATACGTCTGTGAATATTCCTTGTTCATCATCATCTCGTGTAAACCACTGCTTTACTTTATCCATTGAAACAGCTGTGGAGATGTACAATCGAATATCCGCCAGTCACCAGCACAATGTACCTATCTCAATATCCAATATTTTCGTACCAAGCTTACACAAACCAACTGACTTTTCGTTGTTTCAGTATGGACATATAACCTTTAGTCTGAGAAAGTGTGTTCGCTTCACAATAGTAAGCCTTATGGAACCAACAGTTCTCATATTACTAGGTAGGAGGCGGGTTGGTCACTGTTTGAAAAATAAAAATAAAAATCGATAGCTAGAAGTCAACTGTTTCAAGAAGCGAATAAATAAATAAATAATCTGTTTAACTGGCGATTTATGGGGTGCGGGAAGACAGAGAAGGAGGAATAAAGATGGAACGGTAATGATAATAGGTGAGATAGGTATAATTTAATTATATGTGATAATCATAGTTGTCAGACACGGATCACGTGCAAATAGCCTAAGTGAGATATGGCAATTTCTAAGTGAGTGGGCATTTGTTAATTCCTAATTGAAACTATTCTCTGATGGAGCTGCGTTCACTTCATCTGGGAGAGCATTCAATACGCGTCCAGTTATTAGCAAGAAATAGTGAGAGTGTACCTGGTTTTTCGTTGTACGGTTTTACAGAGGTTGCCTAAAGAGTCCGATGGTGAATTCTTGGTTGGATATTAGTTTTTGGGTCGCTTGCAGTACTTAGTAGGCTATATGCAATTATCAGATCACTTTTTATTCACCGACACATACTGCTTACCATAAACAATTTAAGGAGTTGGAGTCGGTCTCCGTAAGATCACTTTCTTGGGCCCATCACCCTCTTAGTTTACTGTCACTACACTTTAAGAAACTTTTTGAATTTGTTGTGAATCCAGTGGGTGTCTGAATAAGACATGTACCGGTGTATCGATGGCTTTTGTTCACTTTTCCAGGATTACAGAGAGAATGCTATTGCGTATCGGTTACTCTTCTGGACACAGAGACCTTAAACTCCTGACGCTAATCAGAGAAATAAACATATGTTTCTGAGGTCATCAGATGGTGTTAGAGTTTAAGAGTGCTCTGCACCTGTAGGTTGTTGGTTCATTTGGTCGGAAAAGTTGAGGTTAGAGATCTGTGCCATTCCTAAGTTGGAATGGTCACCGTTCGCCCATCTAGGAGCAAAGATAGCGTGGTTTGTGAGCTTTTGCTTAGTCAAGAATCTGAGAACGTATTTTTGGTTCGCTTGTATTTTGTCTGTTAGCTTGTTCTGAAAATATATCTAAAGCCTCAAACTTTGACGTTGCACCTATTTCTCGATCTCAAGTAAGAGCTACTGTCAGAATTGTTTTCGGAAACTTTCCATCTGCATGGGCTCATCTTTACGTCCGTATCGAGCGTTCTGTGTCCCGCTTGAGGAGTATTTTTTTCGTGGATGTTTTTTTCTTTGAGGTACATTGTATAGAGTAGCTCTCTGAATATTATTACTCACCATCTCCCAGTGGTCACCTGCTGTTAGCCTTCGTCACTCTAGTGACCATGGGGGTACGGTAGATGTTCCTTCATTACATAATATTCTTTATTAGTATAGCAAATCTATGAGGGTGTTATGGTCAGTATTCCTCAAGGATGGTTAGATAAGGACCTTTTAGTGGCCCGTGGTTCTTGACTCCATTTCAGATTGTATGGATGTTTGTTATCGCCTTTTCTCGTATATCATTGTCGACTTAAATCGCGTTATCCAATAACGGAATTAAATAAGTCGAATAACGAGAATTGACTTGAGAATACATGATTTCGTACATGAAGCGAATGAAACATAGCAAAGCAAAAATGACACGTATGGAAGATGGCTGGGAAGCCAACTCCATTTCAAACCGGGCATTACTCAATATTTATAGGCAGACAAAATAAACTGCAGACATGTGATGAATCATGGGACATGAAGTGTACACACATATGCGCTCATATGAAAACAGTCAAGGCTAATAAGCGAATAATTAACAAGTTCAAAACATGTCTCAAGTAGAACGAATAGAATGGAATGTCCAGAAACTAGAATAAGATATATTATGGGCTAAAACTAATGACTAACACTACAGCCTCCTCTATTAGACGCTGACTACTCGATAGTATATAGTCTAGCTCTGAATATTCTCCATCCTCCTTTCGTACTGTGGCGTAGCCTGCACTTTCAATTCGACCCAAACGTTTAATGTTTTCGTCAGGTTATTTTTGAAGTCACCCTCTCAGTATTACATTCTTTGAACTGAGATTTAAAGGTGAAGTGCTAAGTTCTCCTACCATACGTCTGAGCCTGTGCATAATAAATAAGTTGAGTGTAACCACACTGGTTTGAAACTTTTCCAGATCACCATCCTAAATCCATGTTATGACTTTAACCACATGGATTCTACGTTATGAGAAAATCAACCACCCTATGTTCATACTTTTTTCAAATGGAATGCAAACAAGTATTTGGCTTTCTTTGAATATTTTCAGGCATTAAAAGGATAAGTGAAACAATATTATAGTTAAGTACAGCATCTGAATACTGAGTAGATTAACGTAAAATAACGGAATAGAATATGGAATATGAAAGATATTACTGTTAGAAATGTTCAGAAGGTGTAAATACAGCAGTAAATAATTTCAATGTCAAAAATTTATGTAAATTTTAAAAATATTACACAACGAATACATATTACACGCCACAAGCTCAAAAGTTGTTTGCAACGAGGCTGGCTACTGAATATTAATAAGTAGTATAAGATAATACAGAAAATATAGGATGGTTGTAAAGATTGAAAAAATAAACAGGTTCAACAAACTGTTTTGGGCTACACCAGTGTACATCTATAATTTTACTTCGTTCTAATGTAAACCATTTAATATGAATGAATAGTCAGTTGCATATTGGTCTTTGACTTTCACCAACCACAAAGATAATTGTTTTAGTAAGAGGAAGCTTGTGTATACAAATAGACAATGTATGACGAATTGTACCATAAATTAAATTCAATAATAAAAAAACACAGAGACGTGTATATCCAATCATTTGAAATAGAACTGCCACTAAGCAATTATGTCCATAAATTATGCTTGCAAATGACACATGAAAATATAAATGAGTGTTTAGGGAAGAAGGACAACAAGAATGAAGGTATATACAGAAGGTCACATGCTATTTGATTTGTTAATAATTGCTTGGAAGTTAAAATAAACGAGCCTTGGCTTAGGGAAACCTCTCCAGTCCAGCTCTACATATATATTAGTTGGGGATAATTTGACAATATATTGACACCAATACAATTCTGATTTCTCAGCAGTTGAGTTATGGGATGAATCAAGCTAGGTTTTAGCAAAATATGGTTTAAATTTAGATTATTGTAAAAGAGATTTGATATTTAGTCATTCAATGGTAATAAAAACAGAAGTTCAATTAATACTACTTATATAAGTTTGAGTAAACTCTCGTAAAAACGAGTTTTCATTGGGTTTGTACAATTTAACTTCGGTTAAATTCAGAATGAAAGGTAACAATTGATGACAAAGTAATTTGAATCCGGCAACTCAAGTCATGTTAGTATAATTAGAAAACAAAAGACTTAAAGTAATAGACGACAATCAGAATTCAGCTTAAAGAGTAACATGTTGAAAGGATTTTCAATTGGGAGTTTCAACTCACTTGAGTATGAATTAAGAGGCTACAATTTATTGTTTCATATTCTCAGTGAAACCAAATATCCAATTAAAACCTCTATTAAAACATAAGCGTCTGAGCGAGATAGCAGAGGCCCTGGGTTCGAATCCCGCTAGCAGAACCGTGGATGCACACTGCTGAGGAGTCCTATGATAGGACGAAACGGCCGTCCAGTGCTTCTAGGTTTTCAATGGTGGTCTAGCACCAATCAATCCATGATCTCAATCAAAAACTTAATAATCTTCACAACCCTATACTGTTGATATTTGTTTGTAGTTAATTAAAAGACGTTATGATGAAGTTACTGTGAACTAAATATTATGACCTTTGTCTGTACAACTTAAATCACGAAGTTATTACTATAGGAATTTAGTTGAGCCGTTTATTTTGTTGATATGAAACTATTTAATCGATAAACCAAGAAAGTGTATTGTATGAATAGTAGCTACACAGATACTTAGGTTAATATATATATCAAAATCGTAGGAACATATACAAAGTATGTTTGGGCTCTAGCTACCAGTGGAATTTATGATACAACATTTGAATGTATCTGAATCCAGGTACTCATGTTATAGTGGGACTCAAACACAGTCCCTGTCACCTAGCTCACTAAATCAGTGAGTCATTTTTAGTTGGTATACTAATAGCTACAACTTAAACGTACTGAACTTTTGATAAAATGCCTATACCGATTTACTCAAGTATATTTTATACCAACAAAGAGTGAACAAAACTCAGTCCTGAATATCAGCAACGGGATAACATAAAGTTTGTAAGTTATAGTAAACATTACGTTGTAGACTCGTTTAAGGAATGGTAGATAATCTTGAATGGTTAGACGTACCAATATACTTTCATCATAGAATACGTCACCAGTGGGGAACAATCAAATGTATTTAACACAAAATTACAGAACTTATTAATAAAATCTAACAATCATAAAATAAATGCTTAATTTGCAAGATGTTTACCAACTGTCTCAAAATGACCCAGATTTCATTGTTCTCACATTTTCATACAAATTGCATCCTGTTTCGATTCTTTACTGTTCGATCCTCTTGTCTCTCTGCTGCCAGACCTTCTGTTCACGACTAACATCATATACTACTTATGCCAATATAAGTAGCACGCACCACAATATGACTTATGCAAATCTGATTTACATTTGTGGAATCTATGCTAATTTCAGGAAATGTTTGAAGATTAGTCAAGCTCTGACAAACTAAATTAACATAAGAAGATTATCTTTCACGTAACTGAGAAGCATCATCGATGAACAAGGAGGATCGTATGAGGACGTAAAGGTGAGGATTGGCAAAGCAACAATAGCATTCCTACAATTGAAGAACATATGTAACTCAAAACAACTGTCAACCAACATCATAGTCACAATCTTCAATACGAACGTCTAGACAGTCTTATTGTACGGAGCTGGAACTTGAAGAACTACCATAACTATCATCAAGAAGGTACAAGTATTTATAAATAGTAGTTTACGCAAGATATTAAATATCCGTTGGCTGGA